TCTCTCCACAGGTGTTCTATGGGATTCAGATCTAGACTCATTGCTGGCCATTTCAGAGCTCTCCAGCGCTTTGTTTGTAACCATTTCTGAGTGCTTTTTGAAGTGTGTTTCGGGTCATTGTCCTGTTGGAAGACCCTTGACCTCAGCTTTCTGACACTGGCTGCTACGTTGCACCCCAAAATTCTTTGGTAATCATCAGATTTCATGATATCGTTCAGTCAAGGTATCCAGTGCCAGAAGCGGCAAAGCAACCCCAAAACATCTTTGAACCTCCACCATGTTTGACTGTAGGAACTGTGTTCTTTTCTTTGAAGGCCTCATTTCTTTTTCTGTAAACAGTGCCGTGATGTCCTCTACCAAAAAGCTCTACTTTTGTCTCATCTGTCCACAGTATGTTCTCCCAGAAGGATTGTGGTTTTGTCACATAGGTTTTGGCACACTCCAGTCTTGCTTTTTTATGCCTTTGTGTCAGCAGTGGTGTCCTCCTGGGTCTCCTACCATAGCATTCCTTTTCATTCAGATAGCGACGGATAGTGCGAGCTGACACTGTTGTACCCTGTGTCTGCAGATCAGCTTGAATTTGTTGGGAAGTTCTGTATCTGGGTTCTGTATCACCATTCGAACAACCCTTCATTGTAATTTTTCAGGAATTCTACTATTGTGCCCACATCCAGGGAGGTTAGCTACAGTGCCACAGGCTGTAAACCTCTTGATGATACAGTATTGCACACAGTGCACACAGGAACATTAAGATCTCTGGAGATGGATTTGTAGCCTTGAGATTGTCAATGCTTGTCCACAATTTTTTCTCTCAAATCCAGACAACTCTTTACACTTCATTCTTTTCTCCATGATGTGGCACACACAACTTTTCTCCATCCTAACTGGTTGCAAGTGTGATTACTATTATTGCCCACACCTCTTACTTGTGACAGGTATGTCTACATACAAATTAAAGGAGCATCACATGCTTGAAAAGCCATTATTTCTTACAATTTGGACAGGGGGCCAATAATTTTGGCCAGTGCCTTTTTGGGTTTCTGTGTGGGATGGTATCAAATATGACTTTTCTTCTCTGGTTTTTGTGTTGTTCCAACGCAAACCAAAGAAATGAACACGTGAGTACCAAAACATTTGCAACTGCAACAATTTTCTGAGAGAAGGGTTGCATTTTCCGACAGAATTGCAAGGGTGCCAATATTTGGCCATGACTGTAAAACCAAGTCTCAAGGAGCATGAAAGAAGAGAGTCAGAAACAAGAGACAGTAGTCGAAACATAAATCATATGTGTACCAATGCAGCAGGGCCAAGAGGCAGCAATCTGTGTTTGGCTGGAACAATGGGGACTGGGCTTTTCACCATGGCCTAGACACCCTTCTATCTTCAATTGACTCTTTTACTACAACTGCCTTATCTTGAGAATGTCTCCCTTGTTACCTCTGTTCTAACACCAAAATCTGCCAGCATTCTCTAGGGTTGTATGAGGCTTTCCATTCATCAAGCTGTCAACATCTTTTAGAGAGAACAGGTCTTCCTCAGCAGGGCCAGGCCTCTTTCCCCTACCCATCTCTGGTTTTTCTGGGAGAAGATTGCCAACTTGGAGCCTCAAGATCCTCTCCAGCCCTGGTTTCACCCCACTGAGGCAGGCTGTACTCAACGTTATCTGAAATATTATCTATAAAATATTTTAATGTAATAATTTTCAAATTTCATATATTGCATTTGTAGTGCACTGAAACAGTAATAGTATTTAATATCAACTCCTTTTTCCTTGCACTAGTGTAAAATTCCACTCCTTGCAGTCATAGGAGAGGCCTGGGTGAAGTACTATATTCTGCTTTGCAGAAGGTGAAAACACTTTATAGCATTGTGCACAGTACTATGTACATAGTAAAGAAAACATTTTAAACGTGTTATTTTTGGAAATAATTATGGTATCTTCTAATGGCTGTGTATGTGATGTCTTCAAAAAGAACCAAATTGTGGGGCAGCATAGTTTATTCCCAATTCAAACAATTAGTTCAATTTATCTTCTGATTTTGCTTTGGCAACACTTTTGTTTATTGGCTGTGTTTCATGGGGATCCGTTAATTACATAACTCCCTTTACAGACTCTTTTATGTTTCTGCCTGTGATGTTTTCCTTTAACTACCTAATGATATCATTATAGATCTGAATATACTAAAATTGAAGTAAATTAACCCTTATATCTAAGCACACAGCTCCTGTTTGCCTGTGCTCAGAAACATATCAGAAAAGTTGGAGATGAAATTTAGTTAACACCCTTGGCAAAGACACACTCAGCTGCAATCAAATTAAAAGCATAGCCTAGTGTCTAGAGAAAGACATTGTCTTGTATTTGGTGTTGTCCTCCTTGACCAATGGTAGATCTCCTTATTCTTGTTGTAGATACCACTCTATTCTGGGTACTTATCTATTTATTTATATTCCACCTTTTTCCAGTGAAGGGACAGAGAATGGTAGATCTTACTCTTGTTGTAGATACCACTCTATTCAGGGTACTTATCTATTTATTTGTATTCCACCTTTTTCCAGTGAAGGGACAGAGATGTACAAAAAAGGAAATGTGTGTGGTCCCTGTATAATATCCAAATATAAGGGTGGATGATTCCTTCATCAGACCACTAAAATCTCAAAAACAGGCAAGCACCTTAGTTCTGTAAGACTGGGCATTACACAGCTTGGGAGTAGCAGAGAAACAGAAAAGTCTCCTAAATCATCTTGGCTATAGGTGGATCTATACCTCTTCAAAATTGGTTGCAGATGCTCTTTCCCTATACGTGCACACAGAACCTGTACGTGCACACATCACTGTTACTGTGCAGTTCACTTCCACTGTTGTGGATGTTCAAGACACATAAGCAACTACTGTATTTGAATTCAGTTTTGAATTCAGTGGTAAAGGTAAAGTTAAAGGTTCCCCTTGACAATTATTGTCCAGTCATGTTCGACTCTAGGGGGCGGTGCTCATCCCCGTTTCCAAGCCATAGAGCCAGCGTTTTGTCCGAAGACAATCTTCCGTGGTCACATGGCCAGTGCGACTTAGACACAGAACGCTGTTACCTTCCCACCAAGGTGGTCCCTATTTATCTACTTGCATTTGCATGCTTTCGAACCGCTAAGTTGGCGGGAGTTGGGACAAGCGATGGGCACTCACTCCGTCATGTGGATTCGCTCTTACGACTGCTTGGTCTTCTGACCCTGCAGCACAGGCTTCTGCGGTTTAGCTGGCAGCGCCACCACGTCCCTTATTCGGTGGAATTCAGTGGACCAGTCATCAAATACCAAATGATGTCACAGAAAAGATCACCAGGTATATGGTGCACATGAAACATTGTGCCCCATTCCAACCCAGCTGAAAATAAATTGAGTGGTTGTGCACATTCAAAAAAATACTCCATATTATGCAAGTAGTATTATTAGGCAAGGAATAAGAGCTAGTTATTGCCCAGTTTACTGGATTGTGGACAGAAGAAAAGTTAAAATATTGTAGCACTTTAAATACTAACAGTTTTATTTAAGTTGGTGGGGTTTTTTTTAGTGTAATGTATATCCTGTACAGTATTGCACTAAAAGCCTGTCTCCACTGAGGCTCAGTGGAACCTGCGCACAGAGCCAAGTCTGCTGTCCCTCCCAAGACCTTACTGCTCTAAACTCAAAGATTTCTTACATACTAACTGCGATATAATGTCCAGAAAAAAGAAAAAAATACACGCAAACATCTGCTAAGTCTGCTAAATAAATGAATCAGTGGTCCATAATTTGCAGGACCTGAGCACCGCGGCTACCGCTGGAACTTTTCGAAGGTTATTAATAAACGGGGGGGTCTCCCTAGCTCGGAAGCCATTTAATAGGACACATTAATAAGGATTTTTACATCAGGAAAGGTCAAACTACAAAAAACACGGGCATATCAAAAGCTGAGCCCATCCACACGACCCTGCTTCGAAAGCGACCCCTCCCTTTTGCTCAGCCGCGCGTCTCAGAGTCGACAGTAAATAGCCCTACCGTGCCCCACCCCCCATCTCGCTCGCGGCCCTCTCAAGTGCGCACGCGCCTTGCGCCTTCGCTCGCGCGTCCCTTTCCCAAGCCGTAGGCCGCGGTTGTTGGGAAGCGGCATGCGCGCGCCTGGTTGGAGGTGGTGCCTCTCGCGCAAACACGCAGGGAGTAGCCGTTGGTCGCTTGGCAGGCCGGCCAGCCGGTGGGAAAAGAAGGCGGTTGTCCGCGGCTCGTGCCTCGAGGTCGCCTCCGCTTCCGCCGCCTCCCTTTCGCCCTCCTCGCGCTTGGGACTGGCCATGAGAAGGCGGCTTCGGAAGGGGGCGGGGATGGCCGTTGCTCCTTCTCATGCCGCTTGGCGCCTACCTCCGTCTCCCTTCCCTTCCTCGGCCCCGGACTCTTGGGCTCAGGGCACCTGCCAGCCCTGAAGAGGGCCTCAGCGGCAGCACCCACCACCAGCCCCAGTGGGAGGCCGGCCTCGAGCGCCGCCGCCGCCGCCCGTCCTTCGTCCTGCCGCCGTCCTCAATGTCTCCCCCGCCGCGGGGAGCCCACCCCATCCGCGCCCCTTTGGCCCACAGCAGCCCCCTGGGCGCCCGATCTCGGCCTCCCCTTCTTGGAGACCGGCGGCGAAGCCCGCCGCAACTGCCCGGGGGGAGGCCGAGCAGCGACGGAACCGGCCAGGCCGTCTCCCCCGCGGCGACGATGAAGGCGGAGGCGGGAGACAACAGCATGATCAACCTGTCGGTCCAGCAGGTGCTGAGTTTGTGGGCACACGGCACCTCGTTGCGGCACCTCACGGGTAACGCGCGGGAGGAACGGGCGTGGGGCTCCCGGAGGGGTCGGGGGCGTGATGGGAGAGGGGGGGACAGGGAACCGGCCAGGCCGTCTCCCCCGCGGCGACGATGAAGGCGGAGGCGGGAGACAACAGCATGATCAACCTGTCGGTCCAGCAGGTGCTGAGTTTGTGGGCACACGGCACCTCGTTGCGGCACCTCACGGGTAACGCGCGGGAGGAACGGGCGTGGGGCTCCCGGAGGGGTCGGGGGCGTGATGGGAGAGGGGGGGACAGGGGTGCATGGTGTCCCTGACGGATGGAACTTGTGGGGGAACTTGGACGAGAAAGGGCTCCTGAGGACCGCTGTTGGTCCGAAGAGAGGAGCCAGTTGCCCAGTGCGCTGTTGTTATGCATTTGGACTCTGTGGCATGCAGCGGTGTATGGATTAGACATGTGGGCCCTAAGGGGCAGGTATAGTGTGGTGTGTAGTGGATAGAGTGACAGCCTAGGACTCTGGAGACCAAGTTCAAATCCCCACTCAGCCATGGAAACTGACTGGAGGACTGAGACTGGTAAAAACACTCCTTATTTATCTCACTTATCTTGAAAGCCTTGTTAGGGTCACTGTAAGTCATTTCCCACTTGATGGCGCAGAACAAGGGGCAAGTAAAGCTTGTTTATGAACATAGATAGGTAGCAAGATGCTGTAGGATACTGTGAGGTTGTAGGCTTCTGAGAGTAACTGAATAGTAGAGGTCTCAGCACTAGAGATCCTCTCTGGAGTGTTAGCTAGAGCGCTGTGGGACTTAATTCTGGACTTAACACAGAGTATATATGCTGTGTGCTGTTTTTCGTTTCATAGCATAGAAAAAAAACCATTTATGAATGAACATAATAAAGTACTGTGAAAGTGTTATTAGTGTTGAGAGAGTGGATGGAACTTTTGTTTCCCATTAGGGTTAGATTCTTGGACAGATCTTTATACTAAGGTTATTCTTAGCTTCAGTTTCCCATCTGTAATAGTATATTACAGACAATATTATTAGAACAATTTTAAATTAAATGTATGTTAATGTACGTTCTAAGCAAAGTTCTATACTGTATAATTCTTGTGGAACTAGCTCTCCAGAAATTGACAGAGTTAAAGATCCACCTAGATAATAGTATTTGAATGGAAGTAATCTTTTTAAATTAATGTTGAGTAGGGAAGATAATGGCAGTCTCTTTATTTTAAAAAGTTTTAATTTGTACACTTCATCTAGTTTTTTTTAAAGAAACCAGTTTAAACATATGGCTCCAATGCTTTTTGACAAAATACAGTGATCTGAATTATTTTCTAGTACAGTATTTAATTTATTTTATTTATTAATAAAATCATATGAAAGTTATCTGGGTCAAGCATCAACATCATCATTATATGCTGTCAAGTCAGTTCTGATTTTTAGTTACCCCTTGAGGAGTTTTCTAGGTACAATATGCCCAGAGGTGATTTATCATTCCCTTTTTCTAGGGACTGTGCAACTTGCCCAAGGCATAAGCCCAGTTTTAAAGAAACTATACAATCAAAACCAAAATGAAATATAGCAACAAAACTAGTTATACCCACAGGTTTTGGAACTGAGACACCCACACTGTGTAATTGAAAGGTCCTGGGTGAACCAAAATAATTTAGTTGTGCCAGTAAACTTTTCTAGAAAGACTGTTCTGCAACTAGAATTCCATTACTCATAAGTCCCTCTTCCTAATACAGTAGTTAACTGCCTCACTGCATTGATGTGCTGAAACTGTCATAATCATATGAAAGTTTATGCACAATCAAAATGTAGCATACTTTTCACTGGTAGCACAGCATAGTATAAGTGCCAGGTTAGGATGTTTTTTGCTCCAGAGAGTATTAGTTGTCACAGCTCTTGTTTTCTATTCCATCTGATAAAGTGGAGTGGAGTCTAGAAAGGCTTCTATCGTAATACACTTACTAGCGTATAAGAAAGCACACAACTTTGTTTCAGTGCATTTTCTCCTGCAACAGTTACTCCTTTAAGCAGCGTAATCAATGGCTGAAATCCTGTTGCGTAATGTAGTATGTCACCCCAGAGTAGTCCCATTGAATCATTGGGGACTCTGTGAGTTAGTTTCTCTGTAAGTTGAGTTGATTCAAATGAGCCTACTCTGTACAGTATGTGACTCACTTTAGCATAGTAAGTTGCAAGGAAAGTAGGCCCATTTGAATCAGTGAAACAGACAGAGGAGTTGACTCATCAAATTCCTATTCAGTGGACTTATTCTAGTGCAGCTTACTGTGCTAAGCAACAAACTTTCAGCCTCTGTGTCCAAGACATCAGACATGCACATAAAACTGTTGTGTCTGCGGTTGGGTTCTTATTTCAGGTTAGGCAGTTCCTCTTCAATGAAAGCTATAACAGGAGACTGAATAACATTAGTCAACAGTTTAATATATTTTAACAGTGCAGTATGTACAACAACTTCAGTGGGTCCAACAGGACCAGCAACCATAGATGTTTCAGGCCACATCTTGTGTAACCTCGGCATCGTTAAATAAGTTTTTTAATGTGGGGACATTCCAAACCTCTCCCAGTCGGTAGGTTTCTGCAGTGGCTGACTCCTCACCATGCAGATAGTCCCGCAACAAGGGTATCTAGCCCAGTTGCCTTCAGGGGGTGTCAAACCCATAGGGATCAGATCCACCACCTTCTTCCATGGACCCTTCTCTCTTGGGTAAATGTATACAGTCCATTCTGAAGGGTTTGACTCCCCCAACGGCATCTCAGTTCCCATGCGCTCTCATCCCTCCATCTCTTCCCTCCATCACCTTTTGCCTCTCCCTTTTGGGGAAAGGAGAACACATAGGTTCCTTTTGCCCCTCTCGACAGTGACTATTCTTCCTCTTTATCTCCCATTTCAGGACTCTCCCACTCCTCTGAACCCCAACTCCTCCCTCTTTATACCTTCTATTCCCCTTACATCTTTTTTCTCCTCAATTGCTAAGAAACCCTCTACCATTGGCTGCTCTTTTCCTGCCACTGTCTTCCCACTTCCCTCTCTTCCTAACTTCCTGCCTTCTACCTAGAGCCTTGTTTTGAACCATTGAAGGTCATGAAGTAAAGATGGTGCTGAATCCTTCAGCCTTAGACAAGTGAGGGAATGGCTCACTTCTAAGTTTAGCCACTCTCACTGGTACCTTTTCACAGTTTCCCAACAGACAAATTACAAAACAAAACTACTGTGCCAAGCATGGATTAAAATAAATGATTACTGTATTAGAACAAATATTTTCTTGTTCAGCCAGGATCCACTATGCAATCAGTGCCTCATCTAGTAAGACCCTAACATGCCTGCCCACTTAGAAATTGTCTTCCTTTCATTTATGTGGTCAACCAATTCCAAACTACAAAGACCGTAGGACAAGTATGCTATAATTCAAGAATTGCCCTTCGCAATAAGCAAGGGATTCTTAGGAATCTATTGGGTTCTCTGAGGGCCATACTGTACTGTGGATTCCATGGTGTTCAGTAACTGCTGTACAGAGAACTAGAATGTCTACTGAACTGTTTAATATTCACAGTATGTTTTGCAAACTGGAACCAAGCTTGATGGTTTCTCATTGGCAAAATAAATACAGGTACTTGTTACAAAGAACTTAGTTCATACTTGTGTTAGTGTATTTTTAAAAATAAATCCATTGATGTTTCCAGCTGTATACTTTTATAAATTTGCACATACCTACTAATATTTATTTGTGGCAGAAAAGATAGTAGGTAAAATAAAATAAAATAGAAACATAGTTTTGAAAAGCTGTTTTGGGGGGGGAGAGGAAGTATTGCTACTGACCAAAAAGAGTTGCCATTAGTCAGAATTGATTTGATAACACATTATTACTATGAACATTACCCTGTTTTCCCAAAAATAAGACATAATCTGAAAATAAGCCCTAGTATGATTTTTCAGGATGCTTGTAATATAAGCCCTACCCCAATAATAAGCCCCAGTTAAATGAAAGCCTGCCCTCCACCATTGTGCAGCAACCAGAAGAAGATGACATAACTGTATTTGAATAAATGTAGATTGTTGTACATGAAAAAAATAAACTATCCCCTGAAAAATAAGCCCTAATGCGGTTTTTGGAGCAAAAATTAATATAAGACCCTGTCTTATTTTCAGGGAAACACGGTACTATTGTTGTTTTGATTATATAGATTTATATGTGCTGTCAAGTTGGAACTGACTTATAGCAACCCTAATAGGACTTTCAAGGTGAAATAATTAAGGAGAAGTTTTATCACCCACCACACACTGCAGATTTCCATGGCCGAGTAAGGATATAAACCCTGGTCTCTTGAGTCTTATTCTATCATTCTATCCATTACACCACACTAGTTATTATAGATTTTATACTTGATGTCAATGTTTCCTCTAATTTTCTGGAGAGTTGGGTAGCAGCCCCGCCCCATATATGCTGTGTTCTGGCCATGACCAGAAGCAAATAGGCAGCAATACTGGCTTGGCTATGCAGCCCTGATAGAAGGAACATAAGTTGATATATATATAAAATGCTTGTAAAGAAAGCAGCCAATATGGAGCTCAGTATTAAGAAATTGGTAATTAATATATGTGATGTAATATAATGCGAGAACATTTAAAGAACATTTAAAATGGATGTTTTTCAGAATACATTTTTAAAGTAACCAATGGCTAACTTAAGTGTGTGTATGTGATGCAGCTTCTGGTTTTAAGAGTTTTTTAATTTGGAGGAAATATGTTCATCTCTATCCTGCTGATTCTCTCTGATTTTGACCAATTTATTACTTCATAAATTGCCTCTTCCCCAGTTAGCTAGTTTTCATTTTCAGCTTCATTTCACACTTGCGAATGGAAGATATTTTTATCCAGCATGTGTACGATATGTCCTAGAAAGTTCATTTTAATAACATGGGATATTCACAAAGTGATTCAAATAACTGTTTGAATTTCCTATATGTATTTAAAAATTGATCAGCATTTGCATCATTCTCTCTTCAAACTGGAAAACATACACTTGACTTTCATAATGACAACACTCAAAAGCAATATTATTAATAACTAAAATGTTCTTAATGCTCCTGGGACTTAATTTGGCATCTTGCTAATTTTAGAGGAGTTTAAGTTTGAAATATTGGTAATATTTCAATTGAAATTGGTGTATCTATTTCTTCTTCTAAAACACTTGTTTTGACTTTCTTTCAAAAATTATTTATGAGTAGCTTGATATGTACAGCATAGATCAGAAGCAACAGATTTCTAACTCATTTATGCTGTGTTTTGAATTGTTCTTTGACATTTATTTATTTACATCATTTATTTACTCCCTTTTAACAAAAGAGTCTCCTGAATAGTTCAAATTAAAGCTAGAAACATAAAATAGATTTACAAGAAAGTATGTATGGTGGGGTTTTTTTTAAAAAAAGTAAGCAGTATATATGCTAAGAGTACAAGAAAATGGGATTTTAGGTAGGGATTACTTTTATGCATGTTTTTATGTTGTTTGTTTAAACTTAAGTTAGCATGTATTTGTTGTGATCAATAACATTTTCTCAGAAATTTTGACCTGCTGTTTGATTTCTTCCAGAAATGTGGTACTGGGTTTTCCTATGGGCTCTCTTCTCCTCTCTCTTTGTCCATGGTGCTGCAGGAGTTTTAATGTTTGTGATGCTGCAAAGGCATAGGCAAGGAAGAGTAATCTCTGTCATTGTGGTCAGCATTGGATTTCTGGGATCTTTAACTGGAGCTATGATAACCAGTAAGTCTTTAAAATATTTAAATAAAGTTATTCTTGCTTTTGAAGATCATTATTAATATTATAAACTTCATACACTGTTGAATTATTCAGTATATTGGAATTTGGATGGGCTTATTGTTGGAAAATTGAAAAATAGTCAGTCATGGTTTTTTGTATGTTGTTTCTTCTGTAGAATAAATGTTTCTTAACCATTTTTACTTACATTATTCAAAGGGCTGACATCTCAGTTACACACTCTAGAGAACTGTGACAGAGGAAACCCTCATTTTACCTATTCTCTGGCTGTCTACCAGTATTTTGGATACCTATTTGTTAAGGAGAGCTCTGTTTTTTGTAGCTTGTCACATTCACTGCTGAAGCGGTCTTTCTATCTAGTTATAAATGAGTGATCTGGTGAAATATTTTTGTATTTTCCTATGTGATTGTCCTGAAAAGCTAAAACTGGTCTTGAGAATTTAGTGACTTGAAGCCAGGGGGAAAAAAGTAAGTTTCATCCTCAAAGTGGAGGAATTGTGTTTTACGAGGGGGTGCTGATAAGTACTGAGCCTTTCCCAGAAAAAATTGATCTAGGAAGCTGTAACTGCCACACTATTCTACATATTCCCCCAGGAAGTCAATGCACTTGTGACATTGTCCTGCAGCTTTTTAAGTCCCTGCAAATAAAATTCTTCTGACTGCTGGTGTAACCACTCATTTACAGCATTAGTTGCCTCCAGAACACTCCCAAATCATTGTCCCTTTAGGTGTTTTTGAGTTTGGGAAACAGATAATACTCAGAAGGAGCCAGGTCGGGAGAATAGGGTGGATGGGGCATCACTTGAAAGCCTAAGGAGGTCAGTTTTGCCATTATTTCACCTGCAGTGTGTGATGAGGTGTTCTCATGCAACAGGACAACACCTTTGGAGAGCTTTCCTCGACGTTTTTCCTTGATGTTTTGCATCAACTTTGTCAATAAAGCACAGTAATATTTTGCAATTATGGTCGAACCCTGTTAGAGGTAGTCCACCAGCAGAACTCCCTTCTTATCCCAAAAAACTGTTGCCATTTGCTTCTGCACTGACCTTTGCACTCGGAACTTCTTTGGCCTAGGGGAACCACTGTGCCTCCATTCCTTAGACTGTTACTTTGTCTCAGGATTTTAACAGTAGATCCATGTCTCATCACCAGTTACCAGTTGGTCCAGGAAATCTGACTCATTTCTTGCAAAATGTTCCAAAGCAGCCACCGATGACTCCACACGTTTCCTCTTTTGCTCGGTTGTCAAAATTTTGGGGATGCACTTTGCTGCCAGCTTTCTCATTTCCAAGTCGTTGTGGATAATAACACGAACTCTCTCATGTGATATTCTCAGATATATAGCAATACTTTTGGCTGATATTTGGTGGTCCTCCATGATCATGTCATGGATGGCTTTCACATTTGCAGGCACAGAGACAGAAACAGGCCTTCCACTGGGTTTTCACTTCAACTCCGAAATGGCCAGTTTAAAAATTGACAACCCAACATTTAACTGTTGCATCTGAAGGGCCACTGTGACCCATAATTTGTGACATTTCGTCATGGAACTGCTTTGCACCTTTCCCTTGGAGAAACAGGAACTTGATTATGGTCCTATGCTTTTCCACATTGAACTTTTCTAGAGGTGCTGCCATGTTCACTTTGGACCTGAACATGAAATATAAGTTAAAGTCATAGGTAGTTGATTTTTGCACCATTGAATACAGACTAATTGGCCAATGCACCCTGCAATTTATAGCTTCCTAGCTCATTTTTTTTCTGAGAAGGCTCAATACTTATCAGGACCCTCTGGCAAGAAGACTTCATAAGATGACTAGACCAGCTCCAATAGGAATGACTATTGGGGAAAAGACCCAACATCAGTGTCTTTTCCAGGGAGATTTCTCTTCTAATGAGATGGCCAAAGTATTGAAGCCTCAGTTTCAGGATCTGTACTTCCAGTGAGCACTCGGGGTTGATTTCCTGATTGGTTCCATTACTTCATCACTATTAGAATTCACTTAAGTTTCAGATAGTTAAAGGTAAGTTTATACTGCTACAGCTCAGGTATTACTTGGAATTAGGGTACAAGTCATGTGAATTGTGCATCCCCATGTTAAAGTATAGAAAGGGATGCCCAAAAAGTGAGTCAAATCCAGTCAATGGTTATTACAAGTAGTCCTAGTCATTTTCACATATCATTTGGTGGTTTAATTGACGTTTAAGATAAAGCAGCTTTAAAGAAATTTGGAACCATTTATTCATATTATTAAGATATCCAGTAGCAATATTTATTTTCTCTCTCTGATTTTGTCAGAACGTAATATTTTCGGCACATAGCTGCTGAAACTATTAGCACTTAGTATTTCTTAAAATAATCATATGATTGACTTCTTTCCTGAGAAGAGGTTATGGCAACTCAAGAATAGCTTAGTACAGATATGCATGCATGGTTTATGTGGGAAGGGGGAATAGATACTGGCTAAAATCCAGTAGTGGAACTTATGCCTCATAAGGCTGATGACATCATCAGCTTTACACAGGGTAAGTTTCACTTCTGGATTTCACACATTCTGTTCCTCAGTGTACTTGGAAGTATGAAGGAAAAGTAATTCTGGTTGTTCTTTGTGACATACAATGAAATGCCACATGGGGCTACTTTCTGTAGCTGTATTCTGTTAAAAAGAATCACCATGTGTACATAACCTAACCATATTTAGTGTACTTGGTATATGTGGAAATGTAACTGAAAAAGGCAAAGTCTGTTTCAATGACTGTGCTATTCATATATAGTCAGTGGTTGTACAGTATTATCCAGTCATTCTATCACCACTAAATACTCTACACTACAAATCTTTTAAAAAGTATCCTGTTCTTAGGCAGTTTGTTTAATATCAAGATCATCTTTATACTGTCAAGTTCACTATAATAGGGCAATTCAGTACAGTAGATTACTCAACATATATAGCTTGTAGAGAAATGTAAAGGAGTGGCATTCCAGTGGTTTGAAAAAAACAGCTCAGGTGATCTGGAAACAATTGTAGCTATAAAGTTAATTCTTATCAAGTGCTTTCAGAGATTCTGCTTTAAGTGCTTAGCTGACTAGATCGTGTTCCAAAGTACAACATTTTGTCCTATAGTTTTGCAGATGTAAAACTATAGTGGGTGCCTGATTAATTTTTTTATTGATTGTACCCATTTATTGATTCTGCCCATTTAGTATTGAGTCAGTACTCTGGGCTGCTAACAAAAGAAGGTATAACACAACATTCAACCCAAAATAACACATAAAGGTAACAGAACACACACGATAATGTCTATAATATCATGGCCACCACCAAGAAGACCAGGTTCCTGGTGGTTGTTTTCTAGGCCTCCGTGGCCTTCCACAGCAATAGAGCCTGAAATGATCAGGTGGCTCCTTGTCTATGTCATCAGTCATCATATACTGGAATTGATCAAACAAAACCAGTCAAGATAGTACATTGGACAATTGACTCGATCAACTGCATTGCTAACAGAGTCTAGGTCCCTATGGATTGTCTCAATCTTGGGCTGAAAGGGGACTGCAGAATGATTACACGTTATATGTTTAGATCAGATTGAGGGGTCAGTGATCGAAACATGAAGTATGTGATTATGTATTTATCAGGGTACAGTAATAGAACATTAACATTTAATAATTTATACCCTGGAAGGATTTTTGAATGTAAACATGTTTATATATGATCTTGTAATTTCACTCCCCCCTCTTGTGCTTTTTAGGTGCTGCAGTAGCTGGAATTTACAGAGTAGCTGGGAAAAGCATGGCTCCTTTAGAAGCACTGGTATTTGGAGTTGGACAGACCGTACTGACATTGATAATTTCATTTTCAAGGATTCTTGCTACACTTTGAATCTTCTATGAAGCTTTGTTTATACAAGGAAGAAGTCAGCAGTGAAGCTTTTCAGAAGTTGCTTCAGTAACTGCTGAATTTGAGTTGTGAGAGGAAATACCTGTTACATGGGCTGCAAAGCTAGAGGTCCCATCCATTTGGAAAGTACTTCCTGCTGCAGTCCAAAAATGACACACTACTGCGTTGCACCTAATGTGCCTCTGTTACAGGCAAAGTGTGATCAGCTTAGGAGAAGCTGCAAGATAAAGCACCTTTGTGAAGCTGCTGATCAGGCAAATGCCTTCAGTGTGATCACTATTCATAACAGTGTTGAAGGAAATACCAGGGCATTTCTGAAGAATAGATAAATGTGCCAAATGTGATGTTGAATTTTTTAAAAAAATATTGATAGTGTGACCATTTAAATGTGTAGTTACTGAGTGCTGCAAAATTGAAAAAATTCAGAAACACCAACAGGGCACTTGCTGCTTATTATCATCATCATTGAATCCCACTAAATGCAAAATGTTGCTACATTTATGAGAAGGAAAATTTACCTATTTAATTTACATAAAAGCATAGCTGGGATTCTGTGGCTGAAAGAAACCTCTAGTAAGAATACGAATGTGATCTATCCAGTATTATAAAAAATGGATTTACTTAAGGTAAACTACATTTATTAAAACCAGCCCTTCATAACTTTATTTCTGTTCAGTACTGTCAATTTGTGATGTGTCCAAAAGTGACGTCAAAGAGTAAACAAAAGTTTTATGAGCCAGTTGCCTAAACGGTCTATAAAATGAAATATAAATTACTCTGAAAACATTTACTTTTTAAAAAACTGTCAAATATGTTCCATAATTATCTAAATGTAACTTAATTTGTATCAGGAAGCCAATCACATTGATCTTTTTTGTTAGAGTTAAACATTCATTGATGTACTGTATTCTCAAAGGCTTTCATGGCCGGGATCTGATGGTTGTTGTGGGTTTTTCGGGCTCTTTGGCCATGTTCTGAAGGTTGTGCTTCCTAACATTTTGCCAGTATCTCTGGCCGGCATCTTCAGAGGACAGGAGTCAGAACTCCTGTAAGAACAGAAGAGCACAGATAGAGTTCTGACCTCTGAAGATGCCGGCCACAGAGACTAGCAAAACGTTAGGAAGAACAACCTTCAGAACACGGCCAAAGAGCCCGAAAAACCCACAGCAACCATTCAGTTATGTATCAAGGCGGGTAGGAACTACAAGTCCTGGAAAGCACATATTTACGATATGTCAGTTAAACTGACAAAGAAACTGAGAAAATTGAAGGTTGCTGAACAAAATGGTTATTCCAGCAAACTATCAGTATCAAGGGAGGGACAATTTAAAATATTTCTGCTTCCTAAGATTTAAATAATTGGAGCAATTAAATGTGACTTTCATGTGTGTAGCTTCCAGTAGACATGTTCTCTGTATATGTGTGTTTAACAAGAGTAGTAGTGGTGTGACTATTGTCTTTACTGTAAAATATGTCAGTGGTGAGAAATGACAGGGCATTTATCTAAATGGGTAAATGTAAGTAAATGAAAAGAGTGAATAAATCACACCTTTGAGATGATTTTCATGCTGTCCCCTTTATGAAAGCACACCTATAATCAAGCCACCCCCTGAACTATGTGAGCATCTGAAAAAAAAGGAGCAAACTTCCATATTTGGGAAGCCAGCACAGGTGTTAGCAGTTTGAAAACCATTTTTGACACCCACTCAAGACTGCTAGGTACAGTACTTTAGGTGCCCAATTACACCTTGTTTATTCTGCCTACAGTTGCTTTCCCTAAAAAGGAGTGGTCCTATCTGGAAACATGTGACAAATAGGTAGAAAGAATGGAGGCCTAAGGATTAGAGATGAGCATGAACCGAACCACAAACTAGGGAAAACACACACAAACTGAGCTGGTTCAGTTTGTGGTTTGGTTTGTGGATCCTGTTTTGCCAAAACAAAACAAAGCACTGAATTTTTTCCCCTTGGCACTTTGTTTTGCTTCAGTAAAACGGCATGCCCCCTCCCTCTACCCCATTGCCTCTCTACCTTGTCATGAAGCTGCTCCTGCCGCCACTGCCACTGCCATCCTGAGAGGCAGCAGGCCCAGCTCCAGAAGGCAGGCTGCTAAGCTGATAGATGGGTACATGCACACAGGAAGCAGGCCCAGCCTCCATGCAAGGAGCTGGGCCTTCTGCTTCTCAAGGTGGTGGCAGCAGTTTCAAAATAAGGTAGGGTGGCAACAGAGACGGGGAAGAATGGGTGGTCTCCCCCAGAATGAACTAAAAAAATGACCCATAAAGTTTGTTTAGCAGATAATTTTAATCTTTTCCATGTTTTAATCTTTTATTTTATTTTAAATTATATATTTAATTTGCCTTTTAATATTTAACTTTTTGTTTTAATTGTGTTAATTTTAATGCTGTGAGCTGCCTTGGGGCCCTTTGTTGGGTGAAATGTGGCATACAAATAAAACTAATAATAATAATAATTTTGGGGGTCATGATAATTCATGGGTAGCCATAACCACCAGTTTTCCAGTTCCTGCCCATCTCTACTGTAGAGCAGTAAATCCCAGATGTTCTTGGACTACAGCTCCCAGAAATCCTGGCCAGCACAGCTGGTGGTGAAGGCTTCTGGAAGTTTTAGTCTAAGAACATCTGGGAACCTAAAATTGGGAATCTCTGCTCTAGATGATCCTGCCTTTACTACTATTCTAGCTTAGTTCTAATATGGATGAACGGGCTTGATTTCATATATTCCTTCACTATTGACTAAATTTTGCGGTAGGCCCACTGCATTAATGGGATCCAAATCCTGTTCATCCATTAGCTGTGTTCAGATTATCATTTGGATTGAATTTGTAAGAGGTCAGAATGGGAACTAGCCCTTAAAAGTTCTGTTTGAAATAGTCTGTATGTGCATTTTGAAGAAAGGTACAGGCATGGCCACAGGGTGTCATGGTAGCCAATTTTAATGCAACAGAACTCACACCTGCAGCAATAATACTTTGACAGCACAGTGCTTTGTTCCACAGCCTTTTTAAACACAGTGGGCTAATAACACAGTTTTTACTTATGGTACATGTACTAGTACAATATATTGCTAATAGTTATTTGGCTAAAAATAACATTTTAAAAATACATTTGTTTTTAGCCTTTCTTTATTCTTGTATTTTTAGTGATAGACTGCTGTACTGAAAGATCCTGCCTGTATACTTGGAGCTTCTTCATGGTTGTGTGACTCCACAGCTTTATCTGCTATAGTCACCAATAGAAACTTTATGTTCATCCAGAGCTCTGGATCAAGGTCATAGGGGAATGGAAGCAACATTAAGACTAGATACTTTTAAAATACATTAGCACATTTCATTATTTTTCCCTTTTATGTAATTTTAACTTCAACCCCAGATACATTCTAAACATTCAGTAGTAAAAATGTTTAATTTATAGTGCCTTGAGCATATGTTGGAAATAATTTTCTAGCTTGTTTACTTTGTTGTTGTTCTGTCTTTGCCACTAGATTAACTGTTTGACGGTGTAGTGTGGTGTACCGTTGTTAACTTTAAAGGGGAGAGGGTTGGAAAATGCAACCCTTAATTAAAATAAGTTCAGAATTTTTTCTAAACTTAGTTGGCAGTACTGTATATCTTCAGGGCTGCCTAGCTAGAAATCTATATCTTGGTTTCTATGTTTTACTGTGCATCAGAACATTTTGTATGTGACGCAGTTGTGAATGTTCTATGTGAAGTGATTTGACACCTAGTATTGTATGTAGTCAATAATAATCCTATGAAGCAAGCACTTCTCAGGCTCCAGTACTAAAGACAGTTATGAAAACTGTAAAGGTACGTTTTCAAGTCCGTTGACTTTAGGGCTATATGCAGAAATGAATTTTTATGCTTGAGACTCAGATGCTTCCTGTGTTGTTTGTGGCTGCTTCATTCTGACAAAACTATTGTCATCTAAAACAAATACAATCAGTATTAAGGCTAGGCTAGTAATAATTTGTGGTATAGGTATATATTTATTTTTATTAAAATATTGCAATGCATTTACTTGGTACCAACAGTATAACAGGTTTTGAGCACAAGCATCTTTTTAAAAGGAATCTCAGAAGAGCTAAGCAGAACTGTTTTGCAACAGGAAGCAGTTGTATCTCACGCCTTGTAATACTCAGCTGTTGTGATGTTTTTAGGATAAATCAATGTATGTGATTGCTCTTTTTCTACTAAAACTGATGCAGTAAATACTCACAACTGCTGTTCAGTAGTGAGGAAAGTATATATTTGAACAATCAATAAGAACCAGTAATGAAAAGATTTCTGGCCTTACAACTTTGGAAGGATACGTCAAACTTGTGTTTTAAAGTAAAGGTGGAGTTGGTTTACTCAGTGCATTTTCAAACTAATTTCTATAATAATATAGGAGGGAGGTACCCAAGGAAATGTGCTTGATTACAATATGCTCTCCTAGATTCAGTCTTAAATGTGAGGCATAAGAAATAATGTTACTAGGGCAGTTTTTCAGCTTCTAAAAAGGATGATATTTTGTGTATTATTCTTTCAGGTTTGTAGTGGAGTGCTCTACTTCGGGGTGAAATGTCCTTGTGTGAATGGTATGAGAAGTATTACCTTCAGCTGCTAAGGAAATGAAGGGAAATATTTACATTTTATTACATTAATCTTCAAAATCCATCTGGTTAAATAATTAAACATGTTACATGACAAGTATTCTTAGAGCAGAAGCTATATGTAGTCTCAGTATTTGCCCACATTATTAGAAGATTTCATATTATTCAGAAGAAACTTTTCCAGGTCTGGTTCAGTTGTTTAGCTTAAATTTTAAAAAGTGATATTTCATGTAGCAATGAAATTCTAAAATCCAGAGCCACATTGAACAATAATCTGTTTTAAATTATGAATACATGGGCCAAAGAGATGGTTTTGGATATGTTGTATTTATTCATAATATAACATTTTAAATGTATTTTTTTCTGTATTGAATTTGAGGAAAGCAGTACTGTTTCTTCCTCAGTTTTGCACTTTGCTATATTTTGTTTTAGTGTGATGAACTTCAACTTGAAGTTTGCTTATTTTGTTGTAGAATAATCAGTCAACTTACAGTATGATTAAACTGAATTTTAAGATTAGTTTTATTTGATGTTTATGATCTGATGCATTGATAACTCTATTTACATAGTCTTTTTGCCGAAATATGATTAAGCTTAATATTCTAAAACACTAGTTTTGTGTGTGTCATCCAAATTCTTACATATAGTAAGACTCCTGTAACCTTGGGATCACTATCCAAGGAGTGTCTTAGCCATGTCCTGAAAATATTAAAAGTATTACCGTATTTTTTTGCTCCATAAGACGCACCTGACCTTAAGACATGCCTAATTTTTAGAGGAGGAACACAGGGAAAATATATTCTGAACCAAATAGTATAATAAAATATTTAATAAACTATAACAGAATAACATTTGAACCATGTAAAGTGAACAGCAGTCAACAGTGGCATTATCAGCCAGTGATAAGACCTATACCACTCTACCTATATTTTACATTTCCTTTCATCCACCTCCTCTCCATGCTTATAGAAATGTCTCCATGACAGATGAGATTGTTGTGCAGCTCTGCCCATCTACAGCTCAAGCCTATATTAAGTTAGAAATGATTTGTCTGATTTGGCACTGCATTGAGACGTCCCTTTTAGTTGTGTGGAGGATAAATAG